GGGGGCGGGGCCTGGTGGAGGGGCAGGGCCTGCCATGGGGAGGATCGGCGGAGAGGTGGGGCCTGGTGGAGGGGCGGGGCCTGGCCGTGGGGAGGACCGGCGGAGAGGTGGGGCCTGGCTGGGGGCGGGGCCTGCCGTGGGGAGGACCGGCATAGAGGTGGGGCCTGGTGGGGGCGGGGCCTGGCCGTGGGGAGGACCGGCGGAGAGGTGGGGCCTGGTGGGGGCGGGGCCTGGCCGTGGGGAGGACTTGAGATGTGGGATCCCGGCTGGGGGCGGGGCCCATCTGGGGGCGGGGCCTGGTGGAGAGGTGGGGCTTGGCTGGGGGCGGGGCCAGGTCAGGGTGTGCCGTGTGGGTGGGGTCGGGACTCAGAGGCGGAGCTATGGCTCCGGGGTGTGGTGTGGGCGGTGCCAAACCACAGAGGGGCGGGGCCTTGTGGCTGTGAGGCTCTTTGGTCACCTCGGTGGGCCCAGGTTCCCTGGTGGGTGTGGCCAGGCTCGGGTGTGTCGCATGGGGCTGGGTCAGCACAGGGTGTGGCCAGGCAGGGGCGGAGCCTATCTCACCTGGCCCCGCCCCTTGCTCCTTTACAGAGGACCCCGCCTTCACCCCTCACGAGTGTTTCCAGCGCATCAGCCGTCGCCTGCGGTCTGTGCTCAAGCGCAGCCGCATCCCGATGGTGAGTGGCGCCGTCCTCGGCCTTTCCGGTTGTTGTTGGAATCTAGATGGTGCTTTAATAGAAACCCTGAGCAGGTGCCAGGGGGAAGCTGAAAGGTCAGGGAAGCAGAACAGCAGCCACCAGTGTTTACGCCATGCTCAGCTGAAGAGAGCGGGCTCCTGTCTCCTGGCTTCTGTCTCGTGCGCCTTGCTCTGCGCAGACATCGCTCCCGGGATTACAGGCGCGTGCGCTTCCCGAGCTCTGCGCCTTGCTCTGCGCAGACACCGCTCCCGGGATTACAGGCGCGTGCGCTTCCCAAGCTGTGCACCTTGCTCTGTGCAGACACCGCTCCCGGATTACAGGCGCGTGCGCTTCCCGAGCAAAGGCACAGATCCCGAGTGACAGGATTACGGGTGTGCGCCACCACCGCCTGACCTTATGTCTAATCTCATGGCTGGCTGGCTGATCCTCGGGCAAGATGACTAGGGTGCAGAGTCCATCACCACCATGTCGCCTTCTGACTTGAGGAGGTGACAGGAGCCCTCCCGGTGGTGGTGTGGTTAGGAGGAGGAGAGTGGTCCAATGCAGTGGGGTGCTGCAGAGCGTATAGGAGTTTGAGGGACACATGTCGGGGAGGGCCAGCTAGGTGACGCTCAGCTCTCCCCCCCCCCCCAGGAAACCCTGGAGAGTTGGGAGGAGCGGCTGCTGGCCTTCTTCTCGGTGTCTCCCCAGGCTGTGTACACCGCCATGCTGGACAACAGGTACCGGGCTGGGGAGAGGGGGCAGTGTGCTCTGCTCCCCCCACGCCCCTCAGCCGCTCACTCCCTTCCTCCCCAGCTTCGAGAGGCTCCTGCTCCACGCCGTCTGCCAGTACATGGACCTCATCTCAGCCAGTGAGTGCCAGTTCCCCCTGCCCCCTCCCCCAGCCCTCCTGAGGGAGCAGAGGCCCAGCCGGAGCCCCCGGGGCGTGCCATGCAGGTTTATAGCAGAACTGTGGCCGTGGAGCCTGGTCGTTATTTAACTCGTGAAGAGTGCATTCCGGTGTCCAGTGGGCAGACACCGTCCCTCCCCAGCTCCAGGGAAGAGGGACCGAGGTGGGGTTGTTAAAGCCTGGAGCTGAGGTCTATCCCAGACCTGGAGAAGAGACGGAGGGTCCCAGGACACAGCCTTTGCCCTCCGTTTTCTCGTGTGCTGTCAAGAGCCTGGGTGGTGGTTCCAGGTGCCTTCTGGTCCTTCCCTTTCCTCCTACCTGTCCCTGCCTCCTGCCTGGAGTTGCTGTGGTGACAGTTGCTATGGCAACCCTGGGACTTGGTTCCCCTGGTTTCTCTCTGTAGGAGGATGCTGCGGCCTCCACACCTGCCTCTTCTCACAGACTGAGGCAGGGGCTGGGGCTGGGGGGACTTCTCTGTGGGGATTGAGCTGTGCCCTGGATGAAGAGGGATGCCTCTAGACGGAGTGGATAGAGTCGCAGCTCCTGGCTGGCCACATATCCCCCTCCAACCACCCAGTTTCTTTTGTTGTTTATGGAGATAGGGTCTTGAGTGTAGCCCAGGCTAGCCTCCAGTGCATTATGTATCTAGCCATATGCACACCTCTGGCCTGCAGGGCTTCCTTTGTGCTAGGGGAGCCCTCTGGCCCAGCTGCTCCAGCCCTCCCGTGTTTGTCCTCAGGTGCTGACCTGGAGGGCCGGAGGCAGATGAAGGTCAGCAACCGCCACCTGGACTTCCTGCCCCCGGAGCTGCTGCTGTCCGCCTACCTGGACCAGCAATGATGGCGGAGCCCCGCGGGCCGACTCGCCCGGCCCAGACCTCCGGCGTCTGCTAATGTCTTGCATACTTTCAGAATCAGAACACCCCCCTTCCCTTGGGGAGTCCCCTGTGCCCCGCCCGCCCCTCCATGGCCCAGCTCGGGCCCCGTGCTCTGGTACTGGTATCTGGGTGGGGAGACCTGAGCTGGCCGTTTCTGTGCTCTTTCCTGTTTGGCTTTTCTTTGGTGCAGTCTGCGGCTCAGGCGAGGAGACCAGACTCTTTTATTTCCCCACTGATCAGTTTTTATGAATTTGGCACGTTTGGGATGGGTCTGTTTTAATTTCTCTTTTGAAATAGAGACACAACCAAAACACCTAGCGCCAGCCGGTAGTGGGTTCTGTTGTGACCCCTGCCTGACCCCTCCAGGTTTCAGCTCTGATGGGGTGTCTGGTCCGCTCGCTTCCCAGGGCACCTTGTCGTGTGTGTGTGTGTGTGTGTGTGTGTGTGTGTGTACCTGTGTACGTGTACGTACGTGTGCACGCCATGCGCCCGGTGAGTCTGGACAAGCTTTGTCTCAAGGGCTGATTTTATGCTTTTTTTGTTTTGGTGATGTGTGTATCCTGCCCCGACTCCCCGGGCTCTGCCTGCCCGTCCGCCCCTCCTGTCTCTCCTTACACCGAGGGTGCAGAACTTCCAGCCAGAAGCCTCTGACCTTGCGTGCCCTGCCCCCCTGCCCCCTCTGCGCCCAGCAGAGCTGTGCTCCCCGCAGAGGCCTGACATGATCCCAGGCCCGCCCCGCCCGCCTTCGTGTGGTTCTTCGTGCTTGTGGGAAAGGGACACTTTTAATAAAGCCTTGGTGCTCGGCGGCTGTGCCTGTCTTTGGGTTTGGCGGGGGTGGGGGTCACAGAAGGCCGCAGGCGGAAGTCGGGACACGGGAGATCCTCCGGTCTGGATGCTGTATTTCATTTTAAAATGTGTAAAATGCTTAAAGGTGGGGCGCCAGGCTGAGGCTCTGCACAGAGCGATCGCCTGGACCCCTCCCCAGCACCATGTAAGCCACGTGGTCGTCCTCAGCTACACGAGCGTTTGGGGCTAGCCTGGGCTCCATGAGATGCAGAGGTCTGATGTTGGTCCTTTCATCCCAGCCCTCGGGAGGCAGAGGCAGGGGGATCTCTGTGAGTTCAAGGCCAGCCTGGGCTACAGAGTTCCAGGACAGCCAGGGCTGCACAGAGAAGCCCTGTTGAGGAAAAACCAAAAAGGGAAAACACAGTTACTCCACTCACGTGGGCCCGAATTTCCCCATCAGTGAAGGTGCGGAAGATTATACATAACACCTGTCGGGGTTGAGGAAAGGATGCAGGGCGAGCCTCAGTTTCTCTGTCGGAGGGAGGGCGGGCGGGCGCAAAAGGAGGAAAATATGGAACGCTTCACGAATTTGCGTGTCATCCTTGCGCAGGGGCCATGCTAATCTTCTCTGTATCGTTCCAATTTTAGTATATGTGCTGCCGAAGCGAGCACGAACTGGGATGGCCCGACTCAGCTATTTAAAGGCTCGAAACTTAATATCTTCTAACTTAGGGTGAAAGTAGTTCGGAGCAGGTCTAGAACTTTTGAAAGCTTTCCTCTTACATAAAACTAACTCTATCGTGTAAGATGCAGCCCGTGATCAGAAATGAGAAATTATTTTTCTTTTATCGCACATAGAGCCGCAAATTGTTACTAGGAACTATCGTATGCAAATTAACCGGGTAGGGGCGGAGCCGCCGTCCTCCCAGAAGTCTGTGCGAGGGGCCGGCGCGGGCCGAGAGATGGCGGCGCCGGATTCCGGGCGTTGGGGCGAGTGTGGACCGCGGCCGCCGGGCCGACTGGGCGTCCGGGGAGCACAGGTCAGTGCGGGACGCGGGACCGGCGCCGTCAGGGCGAGGCCCTGGAGCGCAAGGCTGGGGGCGGAGCCTGCGGGGTCAGAGGGCGGGCCTGGAGCAAAGCTTGCTGGGTAGGAGACGGTGTGGGAGGGGCGTGGTCAGCACCGGTGCTTGAGGTGAAGCCTGCGGCTGCTAGGCTGAGGAGGGGGCGTGGTCTGAGGGGCTCAGCCTGGCCGGAGGGGCGTGGCCTGAGGGGCTCAGCCTGGCCGGAGGGGGCGTGGCCTGAGGGGCTCAGCCTGGCCGAGGGGCGTGGCCGGAGGGGCTCAGCCTGGCCGGAGGGGCGTGGCCTGAGGAAACGAGCCCGCCAGAGAGGGGCGTGGCCTAAGGAGCGGCGTCTAAGCGGGGGTGGGGGCGTGGCCTGAGGCTCTGGGGCCAGCCAATCACGAGCCGAGGAGGGGCGGAAGCTGGTAGCGGGTTTGCACAGGGTCTTAGGACGCGTGGGTGGAGCTTAACGATTGGGCGGAGCGTGGGTGGAGGCGCCGGTGTATCTGGCTCAGCGTTTGGGTCCTGGGACCTGGGAGGCGGACTTGTTGGGAGCGTGGCGTGGGGATTGAACTTGCAGCGTGGCCCGAGGCCCAGACTTGGAGGGGTCGGGTGGGGCCGGCTGTGGGGCTGAGCTCAGGCTGAGGTCTGGGTGAGTGGTAGGTGGGTCGGGAGGACACTTGGCCCGGGATTAGGGAACTTACAGCAGGGCTCGGGCTTCGGGCCTGGAGAACAGTCTAGGCCCGCTGTAGCTGGGGTCTTGGGATCTGCCTGTTCCCCAGGAGCCCGGGACCGTGCTGGGCGCAGTGGGCATGATGGACCTGGCCTACGTGTGCGAGTGGGAGAAATGGACCAAGAGCACGTACTGCCCGTCGCTGCCCCTGGCCTGTGCCTGGTCCTGCAGGAACCTCATTGCCTTCACCACAGACCTTCGCAACGACGACCAGGGTGAGCGTCCGGCCCTCAGCGGGCCGGGACCGGGGACCCACACCGTGGCTGTGCCCGGGGTGGCTCCGCCGTGCCTCGGATTCCCACACACAGCGAGTCCCCGCTGGAGAGGCTCCTGGTGGCAGAGCAGGCGCTGTGGCCAGTTAGAGATTTAGAGAAGCCGGGAGAAGCAGTCACTGCCCTCCAGCCGTTAGTGCCTCTGGGAGGAGCAGGGAGGGGTGAGACGGGAATCTGGGGCGCTGTGAGCCACACCACCCTCACCCGCTCCCCTCCGTTGCAGACATGACACATATGATCCATATCCTGGACACGGAACATCCCTGGGAAGTGCACTCGGTCAGCTCTGGCCACAGCGAGGCCATCACCTGCCTGGAATGGGACCAGTCAGGTGAGGCCGCGAGGTTGACTCTCAGTCTCTGAGC